TTCCTAATGCGGGGGGGGGGGGGGGGGGGGTACAGGGCGGGAAGAGAACAAGCTTAGGGTTTCGAATCGCACATGGTTTACGAGGATTGTGCAAATGCTCTGTCCACAAGTTTGACCGCCAAGTACGGGTATGTAATTACAGGGACCTACCTACATGTCGTGTACATTGCTACGTCATGAATATGGTCTTGACAATAAAAATCTACACAGAGGGTCGACGGTCTGAGGAGGTGGACCAAATATCAAGGCAGGCAGTAATCATCACATGGGTGTTGGAAAGGAAATTGACTGCTGCAATGATAGGGACGTCCCACAAACATGGGCAACACGGCCACGTCATGAATACGGTCTTGAGCAAACCTACACAAAAATGGTTGATGGTTTGGAGACGTAGAACAATTAACAAGGAACAACTAACAAGGCAGGCGGTAGCACGTAGAGGTTGGAAAGGTATTGGCTGCTGTAGCACCGTTCCGTGGAACCTTCGTACGAAGAAGTATTAATTACTCAGAGGACAGCTTGGAAAGGAGCAGTTTCTGATAGCTTCTGATAGCCAGGGTCCCCGCAAGAAAAAGCACTCGTTTCCAACGATGATGGGAAGTCGTAACAGCAGGGCCTTTAACGGGTTCGGGGTCTGGAAACAATGCTAAAAAGTTACTTCAGCACCTAACTTGCCCAGGAGCTGGAATTGTTCGCGGCACGTTTGAAAAGCGTGTTGCTACACCTATAACCCCCACACTACCGGACGGTTGCCCGAGTTACCCTCCTGCTGGGAGAGAGAGAGAGGTCTTCTTTGCATTTACACATCCACTGCCCTTGTGTAGAGTTATGTTTTTCGTGAGTCTAGGAAACGAGCCCACCGACATATCTCTTTTCTCCTTCCATGGCGCGCGCTCTCTCTCTCTCTCTCTCTCTCCCTTGAGCTGTCGTTCACGCTGAACGCACCGCTGCCCCGACTGAACAAAAAGGTTAATAAGACTGCTGCTGGCGTAAAGGCTATAAATATGTACCACAACTACTAGGCTGCAGGTTCAAGTCAGTTTGAATGTAGGCATGCGTACGATACATGCAGGCACGTCCAGAATTACTTGTATTGAACGAACAACGGTCCAGCTGTAAAGAAGGAGTATGGAGCACACCCAACCTGAAACACTTCGCCGAGAGCGTATCTAAATAGAAGAAACGAGCTTGTGTGTGCTAGACTGCATGTACTTGGTAGAGGGTGCGAAAAAAAATACAGGTCGTCACTTGTAGCATGTTGTTCAACGATCTGTTGTGAGGATAACCTGGCAAAAAGACAACTGAAAACTGCTCTACATTATCTAAATTCTCGTTGACAGCTGGTTGAGTTGCTGCTAACTGGTTCTGTAGAACATGTAGCATGTGTGCTCTCAAGTCTGCTGGGAGGTGTCAACCACGCCTCGATCTGTCATATGGTATACTACAAGAGCCGTAGCAGCGTAGGTGTCGCCCGACGTTTTTCAGATAGCACACGTCGCGTTCTTGCTGGTGGGGATGATCTGAGATACGAACTCTACATGTGCGTATGTGTGCACCACACACTGCTGCGCACCATGGAGTGGGGCAGGAGGACGGCAGTATGCACACGGACACACGCTCCGTGCCAACCACAGCGGGCACGCAACACACATCCCGCATCCAAACAGCCCTCCGGCCTGCTCCTGTTCTGCTGTTCGAAAAACCAGCAGCAACACATCATTGAAAACGCGCACTTTCGAATCCCAGGAAGGACCCACCTAAATCCGTATACTCTTGCGCCTCCTCATCAGCCAGCGAATCCATGCCGTGCCGGAGCCGCGGCGACTACGGACGTGCGATCACACCGCACAGCTGCAGGTCAGTGTAGTCTGTAGTAGCGGCGCGACAAGACCAGGGGGGGTCGCGGGTGCTCAGCATCCTGTATCCCGGGGCACCTAAAGCAAAATATTTTCTTCGGGACCCCTAGCACGCCACATGGCTACGTGCAGCAAAGTTGCAGTCCCAGCAGGCAAGGTTGGCTGGCGTGCTCCGTCTGCTGCTGTTCTCTCCACCCTCCTCGACGATGGCGCTGGAGTACTTCAGGTGGGGAAAGACACACGGAATATTTATCCTGCTGTAACAACATTCTCTTTTTTTTCTCCCTTCTGCAAGCAAGTAATATGTCGAATCATGATAAATAACTCTGTTTGAATTTTGAACATTATGATCCGGACCCCAGCGTGTTCTTCTTCGGTCACACACAACAAAGTGGCTGAGCGGGTAAGTTGGCAACCTCGTGAAACCTTTTGGCTCTAGGTTGTGGAGTTCGAGTCTCTCCCGGAGCGAGAATAACACTCGCAATTTTTTTAACATAAATAGAGAGTTAAAGCGCACCGCACACCAAACAACAAACAGAGGCAACGGGCTTCTGACCTTCTCTTTTCTCTCGCGTTACAAAACGAAGGGAACCACCGCAGGAGGATGAAAAAAAGGTGGAGATTTCCTCCTGTGTGTGGCCCAGGTTGATGCGTCAAAGATATTCCGAAAGGTGTACTGAAGGGAACAAAAACAAATTGACACAACTCTACGGTAGCAGGCAGGCAGGTTACCTCGGAGTACTGCCGTGGTCTAATCCTCAACTTCGCTCTTGTGAAGGTTAAGGTTTTCTTCCAAGGAGGGGAACCGAACCGATTGTTGAGGTCGACTTGGGTCGAGTGATTTTGAAAGGAACCGCAAGAGCACCGGAAGATGCACACCAGACAGACCAAACCAGACCAGTGGGAAGGCGTCGGGTCAAACAGAAATTGTTGATTCTCACATTGGGCGGCAGTAGCAGAAAATAGAGGCTGCTCAACACATACATATCATGAGTTTACGTACCTCCACACGCACCCTTTGAAATAAAGATAAAACTCAAGCCATTCTAAATTCAAGTCAAATTAGTCAAAACGGCAGTCGCTCAAGTAAGGTCAGGTTAGCATTCTAACTGCACTTTGGTACTGACATCACTAGATGACGCCCTACAGCAGCGGGGAGAGTGTGTGTGTTGGCGCTCAAGTCTGCTTCTGTGGTGGTGATTGTTCCAGAGAGGGCTAACCTACGCTATCACCAGCCTATCCACTCTCACCTGCGCAGATCATCAACTATTCTCTGCGAGTTCAATTGTAGACAGGCCAAGCATTCCGTGATCAACACAAACGAGCAGGCAGCGGTACTCCAACTATGCATGCGGTTCCAACTCCTCCGATACTCCGTTATCCGGTCAGGCATGCATGGTCAGGCGTGGTTATCACTCACAGTTGCGATAACGGTCAGTAGCGCTCAGATCAGGTTCGTTCACAAAGGTTTGGTGTTCACTTCCGGACACTTCGGTCACTGACGGCTAGGTTCAAGCCGTCAGTCGGAGGAACCGTTTCATCATCGCGCGGGGAATGGAACCAATAGCAATTATTTCATTGGTTCCATTATTATCCCGACAGACGGTTACACCTGTCGGAGATCCCCCTCCAGGCACTTATGGGTAATACCCCAGTGCCCATGATAGAGATGTGTACTCTGGACACTTGTTCCTTGCGTCACAAGTGCCCGTCCCGACACTATTTAGAACCGGTGCATACGACCGTCCAGAACATGATATCGAGGATCGTAGAAATGGCGTACAATCTCCGCAAATCTTCGCCGGAACCAAGCACCACCCAACATTTGTCACAGCCGTGCTCACCGCCACGGACCGTAAACCCCTGAACTGCGGGTCGTCAGCAGTAGCTAGTGACATCGGCTACTGCTGTCAACCCGAAGCTCAGGAGATTGGGGTCAGTGGCGGTGAGCACGGCTGTGCCAAATTCTGGATGCCGCTTGTTCCGGCACAGATTTGCGGAGATTGTACGCCATTTCTACGATCCTCGATGTCACCACCCAAGAAGGGAACCTGAACGTGCCAGCACACACACCGCCTCTTCATGGTGTCCTCTATAATAGTGGTAGCAGTACTACAGCAGGGCAGTTAGACACCGTGGGAAGGTTGCTTCTTTTTTATACTGGAATATGTATGCCAGCGGAAAAGGGGGGTTCGGTTCCCCCCCTCAACGTGCGCCCTCTGAGAAACAAGGGTCAAGGAGTCTGTCTTGCTGCGATGTTATTCGTATTGCGTGGCCCTCGCTGGGCGTTCCGTTGGGGGCGTTTCATCACATCCTCTTGCGCCCGTCCTCTTGGCCACTCACAGCTTGGAATCTGCTACAACGGTAGTTTGTAGAAGTACTTCTATACTAGCACAGCAGTGCCGGCCCGCTCGTAAGACATAGTCTATGTTCGTAAGAAACCGAGGCTCAGATTGTGGACAAACTTGTGAAAAATGTCTTAAAAAAACTGGGTATTGCGGCCGGCCCTACGTTAATCGCTACTTGTCGTATTTATAGATGGAATCCTTTTCTCAGTGGCGGGAACAAACTAACGTTCGAACCTCGCTCAAAATCGCTGTTTCTTTACAAAAATAACGGGCCGGCACTGTATTACGAAGGCGTCGACAGCAAGAGGCAACGAGGACAGAGATACACAGACGCTACTATAGCAGTGAGCTAGCTGCCTCTGGCCGCTTCCGCGGGTCACAATTCCCCATAGCTTTACGGCGTCTTGAAGAGATTGTTGGGTCAGTCTGCAACAGCCCGTTCGTGGTCAGTATACTGGTGTACTGGTACTTTCAAAGGGAGGCAACGAGGTATGGGCGGGACCACAGGCCGGCGCAGGAGGCCTCACTGAATTGCCAATATTTGCGTTAGATTATCCTCGTGTTATGAAGACAGTGTTATGAAGACAGAACACTGCAGGTGTCCCTCCCAATCTGGGTAGTAATCGATCGTACTTCGCAACATGTTTGAGTACGAGGACTTTTTTTCGCTGCAATCAGTCGTCAGTCGTCCATGTTGTCGAACGCGACGATGCCTGATGCTGCTCCCTTACAGGGTCCACGTCGATATTTTCGAGGCCCGGTTGGACCGAAGCGGCAATACGCTCTTGTAGTGTATATCTAGTGGCATGAGGCCTTTCTTCGAGAACAACTCTTGCGAGTGATATTGTAACTCCGGTTACTCAATGCACTTTCCGGCAGTCCATGCATACATGGATATACCTCCTGCGGGGCGAATGGTGCCAACATCCCTCTGATTCCGTTGCCCTTGGTTTCTCTTCGCGGGCTTTGTACACGACATCATTTCCTTCAGTGATGATTCTCACCCCCCCGGTCTCTTCTTTGTCCCCGGCACTAGCTTACAGTACCCCCGCCCACCCGGCCGCCGCCGTCGCCGCTCCCGTTGCCGTGGCGCAGGTACGAGGATCTGGTGCGCGACGACGAGGCAGGCGACCTCCACGCCGTGGCGGAGAGGGCGTTCGGACACCAAGGGTTGGGGATCGTGGTCGTCACCGGCGTCCCCGACGTCGCGGGGGCCCGCCGGGAGCTCTTCGCCTTGGGGCACAAGTGAGGGGGGGGGGGGGGGGGGGCGTACTCATTTGTTGCTTGCCGTAGTCATTTGACCATTGACCACGCGTCCCTTTCGAGACGGAGCACCGTTCGTACCCCTACTAGAGACACCACCAACATTTGGGAGCTCTTTACGTTTCTGCCACAAACTCCATAAAAATTTCTTGCACATCTTATCCCCGTCCTCTAGGGCCTCTTGTGCCCACCATCTATCCCCAATTATCGCGATCGTTTTTTCGCTGTTGTCTAATTTACCAAACTTGTCCATGTCACACCCTCTCTGTCTCATTTCCTCCTCGAGATCCTCTCTTTCCTTCCTGTACAACTCACACTCCCCAACTATGTGGGGTCTACTCTCCTCCGATTTGCCACATGGACATGTGTGTCTATCCTCCTCTTCCTCTCTCCTACGGCTGGTATACCTCTTCCTCCGTTCTGGCAAGTCCAGATCGCCTACTCGAAATTGCAATTTCAGCTTTTTCGCATAGTCCATGGGGCCGGGGGGGGGGTACTCATAGTCGTGCATGCCGTAGTCGTTAGACCATTGACCTCGCATCCCTACAAAGCCGGGACGGAGCACGCCGGGTTCTCACCGGACCAGGCTCTCACATCACCAAGCGCGAAGCGCCGTGAGGTATTCGGCGAGTCGCATGAAGGGTGAGCTGCATCCTGCTAAGGGTGTTCGGCATCTTGTGCTTACTTCCTTGCGTACGGATGACAGCTGCGTATGACTTAATTTATTTTCTGGTGCTTTCACTTCCAGAGACAGTTATAAGCACTGTGTAGCTGCCTCGAGGGTGCTTGACCATTTTAACACAACGTGGTGCGATCATCCCCCTTGCGCGGAGTGAGGTTTCTCCACCCCGCACAACATGATCTACTCGACCACCATTATGGTTACCGCCAAAAAAAAACAGAGGTAAAAAAAAGCGGTAACCTGGTTGCCGAGTTCACAAAGTGAATTGGCTTGTTTTACAACGTCGTTGCGAAGCGACGAAAACCCGATCCCGATGGCAAACACCGAGGGGGGGGCTTGTTTTACAACGTCGTTGCCAAGCGACGAAAACCCAACCCCGATAGCAAACACCGGGGGGGGGAGGGGAGAAGGAGAAGCACAGCAGCACCGGGAAATATGAGCATGCGTGCTCCTAGCCTACAGTCTACGTCACGAACAGCTAGTGGTTGTCAATTGGTGAGCTGTCAACATCGCCGAGCACCGTCAAAAACCGTTCCGAACCTGTAGGTGGCCAGGGTATCAACAACCCACCCCCGGGTATTGATGTGATACATATGATTGGACATGGTTTGGCCGCTGCGGTCTCTGTCGCGAGTGTACGCGCTCGGGGAACAAAAACCAACTAATAGCATCACCATGGTTTTCACCCCGATCGAAGGCTGGGGGGGGGGGGGGCATGTAGAACGGGTGTCATCTGCTCGTGATAAGTTTTGCGCCAGTGGAATTGAGGGACAATGAGTACTCCAAGCTCGCCCTTTGACCTCCATCTTGTCCACCAGTTATTATTTTAGGATAGGACCGCCACCCCCCCGCGTCCCCCACGTGCGGCCTCTCCTCCTGTCTTCTCCGCCGCTCTCCCACAACGAGAGCTCGCAACCCCTTCCATGCGCGCAACACCCGCTTTTGGCTCATCCCGCTGTCTCATTCTCCGGCCGCCCTCGAAACACCCTCTCTGCGGCTTCGCTCTCCCTCCATGCGCGGGCATCACCAAGAACGACATCCGATACCATTGCCCCTCCCCCACAAACCTGACCCTCAAATCCTCACGCCGCCCCGTGTCATTGTTGAACCCTATCCTATTGGACCCAAACCTGGCCCCCAAACCCTGTCGTTTGACGCCCCGGTGTTACTGCTTTTGAAAAGAAAAGGTTTGCGGCCCTTCCGGAGGAGACGAAGGTGCGGTACGAGCACCCCCAGAGCAGTTTCAGCTTCGGGTGGTCGCACGGCAAGGAGAGCCTGGAAACAGGCCGGCCCGACCTCGCCAAGGGGTCCTTCTACGCGAACCCCTGCTTCGACGCACCGTTCGGAGGCGACGGAGGCGGTAGCGGTAGCGGTAGAAGCGGCGGCGGCGGCGCCGCCGCCGCCGCCGCCGCAGGTAGCGGCGAAGACGACGACGTGGACTGTCGTAGCCCAGATCATCTTCTCCACCGCCCTGAGAATGGCAATGATGGCGGTGGAAATGACGCCGGCGAAGAAGGCGGCCGCGGTGGTGGTGGTGGTGGCGGTAGTGATAGTGGCCCGAAGGCGGCAGCGGCGGCGACGGCGGCGTTGGTGGAGAAGTACCCTTCCTTCGCGCACCCGAACGTCTGGCCCGACGCGGATGTAGCCGGGTTTTCCGCGGCCTTCAAGGCTCTCGGGCGGGCGGTCGTGCGGGTCGGGGGACTTGTGGCACGGCAGTGCGATCGGTGAGTCAAGGGGGGTCAGGGATGAAGGAAGGGCGGAGCGGCGAGGGCGACACTCGTGTGTTCTTGGGCATGTACCCGTTGCGTGCAGGGAGGGGTTGCACCTGTGCGGTTGGGCGTGCGGGGACATAGGCTTGGTCGTCTCGAGAAAGTTAAGGCAGACGTTTGGCGGTACGAGCGTGTGCGTTTCGATGGGGGGAGGGAGGGACAATGTGGTATGTGAGGGTGTGCAGCCAACAAGACTCGTCGTTGTCGCTTTCGAGTCGTTCGGTTTTAAAAACCACCGCGCACCTTCCCCTAGAGTCCGCTCCGCTGTCGTTCGTGATCTCGAAGAAGCCGCGGTGGCAGCGGGCACAGGAAGCGGTCTGCACAGCTGTGTGTATCTGTCTGGCTTGAGACCGGAGAGATGAAATAACACTCCCCCCCCCCCAACCCCCCTGGTCCGGTGAAAACCCCGACGTGCTCCGTCCCGGCTTTGTAGAGATGCGAGGTCAATGGTCTAACGACTGCGGCATGCACGGCTTCGAGTGCACCTCCCCAACTCCCCACCCCTTTACTATGCATTTCGCGCACGCCCAAAGGTACGTCGCCACGGTGCATCCCGGCTACGATAAGGGCAAGATGTCGCGCATCGTTTCCACCTCGCGCTGCCCCAAGGGTCGCCTCCTGTACTACTTCCCCCGCAGCTCGCCGCCCGAGAGGCCGAGCGGCGGGGTCGGCGGCGGCGGTGACGGAGGGAAGCATGAGGCAGTAGGGGTAGCAGGAGGGGTGACGAGCGGCGGCGGCGGTGGTGGTGGTGATGGTGATGACATGGGTGGTAGCGGAGAGGGTGATGATCGGGCCTTCTCCGACTGGTGCGGCTGGCACAACGACCACAGCGCACTCACAGGTAGGTGTGCGTGAGTGCGTCGATGAGGACGGCACACATGCACGTGTTGCACACACATACACAAGGGTTCATTTTGAAAGCTCGCGTTTTGGTCTCCTTGTTGCTTCCGATGGTTCGTCCGTGATTTTCATCGCTGGATTTTGTTTCTGCTTCTCATTTTGTTTTCAGATTTTTACTCCGTTGCTTCATTCTTTTTCGTTTCTTGTTTTCTGTCGGTGCTCACAAGGTCTGCTTGTGTGTTGCCACCAAGCTCTCTCGAGTCCCCCGATACGCTATTTTCTCTCTCCTTGAATTCATCTGTGTTTTTTACCTTACGTACAAGTAGTAATCTTGGGTCGTGTTGCACTCAACACATTATTCCCTTCTGTGGACGACATGTGTAGAATTGCTGTAACCATTGTTGCACATACAAGAGTAGGACGAAGGCGCGGAGGGTCTTACTGATGGTTGATCAGCAAGAAACCCGACTATGGACGCGTCCCTCTTGGCGCCACCTGCGGAGCTGGGTAATCCGAGACCCTAGGGCTTGGTCTCCCTCGCCCCTCCGGCGTCACTCTCTCTCTTTCCTCTCTCTCGTCCGAGACCGTTTCCTCTCCTCTCTAAATCTCAACGAAGAAAATTGCTAGCCCATAGTACAAGTAGTGGGTAAAGACTACTGCGACCTGGGCCTCCCCACAACGAGGGAAGCCTGTGTCCTCGTTGACGTCGACGAAGAGATCGGTGAAAATAATCAGCGTCGTGGGTGTCGGGGGCGGGGCACTCGGGGTAGTCGCAGCGGCGCT